TCAGTCTCACTAGTAGTTCCACGTGGACTTCGACGTTTAGCTTGTTACCTCAGCTACGATCTTGTGCCCTCGGCAGGATCTGATAGATAGTCAGGCTTCTCAGCCTTTTTCATTTATAGATGTCTGTACCCAGACATGATAGCTTCCGCTTGTGCTTTGATTTGTATGCTCTGAATGTTGGGTCATGAGACCCATGTTTGTAATATCTCGCTCCTCGGAGCCTATTGAATAGATTACTTGAGTCATAGAGTCATGTTGTGATGCCATGTTGTATTTGCACATATCGAGCATATTGTGTGTATGTTATTGAAATGCTTGGTATGTGTGGGATCTGACCATCTAGTTGTTTATCTTTAGTAGCCTCTCTTACCGGGAAATGTCTCCTAGTGTTTCACTGAGCCATGGTAGCTTGCTACTGCTCCGGAACACTTAGGCTGGCCGGCATGTGTCCTTCTTCGTTCCTGTGTCTGTCCCTTCGGGGAAATGTCACGCGATGAATACCGGAGTCCTGTTAGCCCGCTACAGCCCGGTTCACCGGAGTCCTGCTAGCCCAGTGCTACAGCCTGGTTTCACTCGCTGATGACTGACACGTTCGATGCTGGGTCATGGATGCCTGTCCCTGTAAGTCTGTGCCACTTTGGGTTTACGACTAGCCATGTCAGCCCGGGCTCTTTATCATATGGATGCTAGCGACACTGTCATATACGTGTGCCAAAAGGCGCAAACGATCCCGGGCTAAGGTAAGGCGACACCCGTGGAATACCGTGCATGAGGCCGCAAAGTGATATGAGGTGTTACATGCTAGATCGATGTGGCATTGAGTCGGGGTCCTGACAGATAGTATGGTATCCTCCTTTGAATGTTTCATGTGGCTTGACTTGGCACATGTTCACACATGTAGTTGATTCGAAACCAACATAGCTTCCATGATATTTATGTTCATGGTGTTTATGTCCTACTCATGCTAGTATTCAATGTTAATTATTCACAATGCATGATTATGACCGTTGTCGCTCTCTAGTTGGTCGCTTCTTAATCTATTTGCTAGCCTTTGCCTGTACTAAGCGGGAATGCTGCTTGTGCATCCATATCATTAAACTCAAAATTGTTCAAAATGAGTCCATCATATCTACCTATATGTGGTATTACTCTGCCGTTCCAAGTAAATTTTCATGTGCCACCTCTAATCATTAAAATAATCATCTATTTGTGCGCCCGCACAGCTCATGGAGCGATAGGGGGCAGTCAATATCTTCCATGCTAAGCGGGCTATTCTCACGATGGGTGTTTATTCACTTGTCGTTGCACGAGAGAGGCTGGTAATTGCGATGCTCATCCCTATAATCAAAATAAAGAAAAATAAAATAAAATAAACTCCCCTGGGAAGTTGATTGTTTGGAGGGCACCCGTGAATTCGGCTAGCCATGGCTTGGGTTTGAAAGGTTGAGGGGGAGTAAACTTTACCTTTCCGCTTGGAAACCGTCGGTGATGTGTTTAACATGGAAGATATTGAAAATCCTCGGTCTTGACTTTGATAGGAAAAGCACACCTCTCAAAATATATTCATCTCTGATTTAAGCTTCAAGCTTTGGCACCTCTGCAAATCTCTGCTTCCCTTTATGAAAGATCTATCTATTTACTTTTATGTTATTGACTTCTATTGTTGAGTCATCGCCTTCTCAATCAAAGCACCAATTCTGAGAGCGCTATTGTCTTTCTTATGCATTGAGTATAGTTAATGTTGTGTGCATCATGACTGGATCTCTTCTACCATGAATTAGAAGATTTAGTCCCTGTATGAACTTTAGAAGTGATCTGCATTTATGTTTTGCGGTCTCAGAAAGGGCTAGCGAGATACCATGTTATCATATTATATCATGATTGTTTTGATAAATTGTTGACATTTGAGATATGTTATTATTGCTCGCTAGTTGATTATGCCATTGATATGAGTAAATGTGATTTCTAAGTGCTATCATTTGCATGGTTAGTTCATGATCTTTGCTGAAAACTTGAGTGCTATTTAAGCTTATATACGGATACAAGAACAGAAGAGTTCGTAAAAGTTTTTTCTTTACCACTTTCAGTTTGTCAACTAAATTGCTTGAGGACAAACATCATTTTAAGCTTGGGGGAGTTGATACGTCTCCGTTATATCTACTTTACCAAACACTTTTGCTCTTGTTTTGGCCTTTAATTTGCATGATTTGAGTGAAACAAACCCGGACTGATGATGTTTTCAGCGGAACTACCATGGTGTTGTTTTTGTACAGAAATAAAAGTTCTCGGAATTGGATGAAACCTTTTAAAGATTATTTATGGAATATATAAAAATACTGGAGCAAAGATCCACCAGAAGGGGGCAACGAGTTGTCCACAAGGCAATTGGGCCCGACTACCCTCCAAGGCGGGACCTGTTACCTTTTGGAGCCCACAAGGCTCCGCTGACCCTAATTTCTGCGCTATAAATTTCATTCCCCCGAGAGAAAAAGATAAGAAGTTTTATCGCGTTTTACAATACGGAGCCATCGTCACCTCCCGTTCTTCATCAGCTGGGCTTTGGGGCTTCGGCGAGGGGATTTGTGGCCATCATCATCATAATCAACAACAACCCTTCTCCATCAAAAATTCTATATGCTCACCACCAAGAGTGAGTAATTCCTTCGTAGACTTACTGGACGATGATGCAGTCCGATGAGATTTATCATGTAATTGAGTCAATTTGTTAGGTCTTCATACGTAGATACACTATGTTCTGAGGTTGATGTTGCTATGACTTTGCTATGCTTAATTCTAATCACTAGAGCTCGAATGCCATGATTTCAAATTTGAATCTATTATGTTTTCATGAATATAAGTGTGTTTTGGATCGTATCTTGTATGCACCTATTACGTGTTATGATCCGCATACCCCAATGTGAAAATAATTAGGATTCTTTCTGGTGATTACCGTACTATGAGGAATTCATGTATTTACTAAGTGCTTGTTTCAGTTCTCTATTAAAAGAAGACCTTAATATCCTTTAGATTTCTTTATGGACCCTGCTGTCACGGGAGGGTAGGACAAAAGATGTCATGCAAGTTCTTACTATAAGCATGTATGACTATATAAGAAAATACTTCCTCTCTAAACAAATATAAGAGTGTTCTCTTATATTTATTTACGGAGGGAGTACATGCCTATGTCACAATTATGAATTGAAATTATTGTGTATCGCTCTAGGTTGTAACTGTTATATAATAAATGTTATCCAACACAAATATCCATCACTGATACAATGCATATGCTTTTCGTATCTTGATCTTTACTAAGTTACTTTCGTTGTTGTTGTTGTTGTTGTTGTTGTTACAATCACTACAAAACTACTATGTTATTGTTTCTGTTACTATTACTACTGTTGCTACTACTATCAAACTATCATACTACTGTGCTACTAAACACAGTGGTGCAGATATTTAGTTTTTAAGGTGTGATTGAATTGACAACTCAATTGCTAATAATTACAAATATTCTTTGGCTCCCCTTGTATTGATTGATAAATTTGGGTGAAATACTACCTTGAAGATTGTCTCGATCCCCTATACTTGTGGGTTATAAAGACTTTTTTCTGATGTCGTTGCCGGGGAGCATACCTCTATTTATCGAGTCACTTGGGATTATATATGTTGATCACCATGAAGAATCTGAATGACGCTAAGACCAAGATCGTACCCTTTAAAATGAGGTGGGGGGTAAGGAACCGTCGTCTAGATCCGCACTTGACTCATCATATTTTGAGTAGACTTGCGACACCGTCACCTACTATTTAATCTGATATGTTCCAAGTTATTGATGATACTGCTTCTGCTATGAATGACACTTGTGATGTGTTGGAACCGCAACCCTCTAGCTACCTCTCCTCTCACTTGAACGGAGGTGAAAGACGAAGAACAATGGACACAAGATTTTCCGGCCGGCGACGAACGCCGTCACGGGCGCTCAAACGCCCTAATCTTTTCTTCTTTATAATGGCTACATGGCTTACATACGGCCCATACCGGCGCACCTCGATCAATACATCAGGGGGCTTTTTATATCCGGTTGTACACACACCATCCGACCACCACACCGGACACTAACTCCACGCACGCACACACGCCGGCCACTAACCAGCTAATCCATGCACACGCATGCACTAACTAACCTTGACTCTACCTTATCTGGACTAACTAGATCACAACGGAACGAGCAAACCATGCACGTGAGTGGCTCGGTCTTCAGTGAACGTGAGCCGCTGCTCACGTGAGACCTGGGCCTCCACGCCTCGCTCTGCAACACACACAACCCGGCTAACTGACCACGGCTATGGACACGGCTACGCACCAGCGTCCGGACTCGACCTACACGCACATACATGTTGATTATCACCATGGCTTGGCTTATTCCTAACATGATAATGCCAGTACTCTGCTTGATAATATTGTGGCACTAAGTGAATTTTTTGATAAACAATTTGCTAAAACAAAAAAGATGCCGATAACTGTCACACATGTGGCATGTACTAACACCGCTCACATGTTTTTACACTAAAGTTGGCATAATAAAATAAAACTCAAAAAAACTGAAACTTGACATCCAAACAGAAAATTGTCATGCTTTATAACTAAAGTTGTCATCCTCTTATATCTAAAATTGGCATCAAAACATATATGGGTGAAATTGCTTCGTGCTACATGTGTGTGCGTTATAATTCGAGAACTAAAAAATTAAGAATGCTTAAACTCATAAAAAATACTGTTCACCTACCATGCCTAGCTCCTACTAAAGTTGAAATGCCTAAGATTGCATGCCAAACTTATTGATCATCCACTGAAGAGACTCGATCACCTGCCGATCGTACATCTGCTTCTGCTGGGCCATCTCCCGGAACTGCTTATCCTCGCGCTCCACCAACGCCTTCTCGTTCCGCAGGCACGCGATCTTGGCCATGGCCTCGTCAGCGGCGGAGGCCGCCGCGCACCTCTCCTTCTCCAGCTCCTCTAGCGCGGCCTCCTTCAGCCTCCTCTCCCGCACGAGCCGCCGCCTGAGCCGCTCCAAGTTGCTCTCTTCCGCGTCGGTCACCTCGTTCGCGATGTCCTCGTCCTCTGTATCGGCCTCCTGCTCCAGCTCAGAAGCCAGCGACCTCGAAACATGCTTACCGGAGCAGCTGCCAGACCGGGAGTGCTCCACAATGTGGCCCGAGCTGCCGTTCTTCAGAGCCCGCGCCTTCGTCCCACTCCCACACACGGTGCAGACGACGCCTCTGACGCGCACCGCTTGCACCGTGGGGCCCGGACCCCCCACGAGCCCCTCCACCACGTCGCAGCGCTTGCCGAGGCGCCAGACTTTGGCGGCCAGGAGGAGAAAGGACATTACGTCAAGCACGTAGTGCGCACCCACGGAGCGGTACAGGGCGGCCAAGCGCGCGGCGAAGGCCCACTCGCGGCCGACCTCGGACTCGGAGGCGTGCAGCATCGCGAAGACCCCGAGCGCGGAGCCGACGAGGAAGTAGGCGGCGCCGGCGCCGGGCATGGAGGCGAAAGGGACGCCGGCGAGCGGCTTCAGTAGACCACCGGCACTGGAGATGCGGTTCCAGCCGCCCATGACGACGGAACTGCGGGCAGGCTCGCTCCGATTCAGGCGAGTGGAATTTTGATTGGAAAGATGGAATCGCTCGGTGCCAGGGCAAATCTTGGAGATCGATCGGCGTGGGGATTTGGTGGAGATGATGAAGAGTCTGGGAGATGGCCAGGAGCTGGGCAGCCGGCGCCGCGGCAGTAGGGTTCTGGTTCAGTTTTTTTTTTTTTTTTTTTTGAAGCGAGATTTCTGCGGATAGTAGGCGGTATCACTTTGAGGTTCTTTACTTGAGGCACTGACCATTTGGATGACAGGTGGGTACCGAAGACACGGGTCCCACGCGTCTGTGACGTCGTGCTGTTATGCTGGTTCGGGGAGTGTTTTTCTTTTTAGAAGAGTTGGGGGAGTGTGTTTTGGAGAAGCGGATGGGCGTAGTACGTTGTTAGAGGAAGATAACAAAGGAAGTGGTCCAGATAAACGCTCAATTGCAGGTGGGTAGTTAGAGCATGGTCAACGGTAACGGTATAGCCATATATAACCTTTTTTTCGAGAGTACGCAAATTACGTATCATATTTTTATAGAAGACGGATAATAAGTTGCAAGAATGCCTCGAATGCAGCGTCGCCAGAAGAACGTCACAATCATGATATGGCTAGTGCTGAAGCTGAACGAGCAGAGTAACAACAACAACCGACAAAGAAGGTGCATGCGTGATGAAACTAAAGATGGCCCGAGCAACACAAATTCGTAAGAGACAACGCAATTGGCTGGGCCCCGCAAGTCAACGAGACCTTCCACTCTCTTCGAGCGGTACAACGGCAATGAGTGGGTCAGATTCTTAGGAATGGGATATGCAAATTAGTTGTGCTTTTTATGTGTTTATTAGTAGTGTTACTCTTATTCCTATAGCTTATCCGAAGGGATAACGAAACGGACTGAACGAGCGTGATAAGGGTTAGCTCTCTTCCTCCCAATCTCTTCTCTCTGGTATTTCCTGTCCTGTAATCTGACCAGATATTTGAGAGAATCAATACCGGAGAGCAGTAATCCCATGTGTTTGATGGAGTAGTGCTTGGGTTTTTAACATCTGCTGATGTTGCTTACCGCACGGCAAGGTCGATGAGCGATGATTGTGTAAGGACCGAGAAGAGGTGTCTAGAGGGGGGTGATTAGACCCTCAACAAAGAAAAGTAGCAGTTTTTAATTTCTTTAAGTTAAGGTGGAGTTTTAGCACAAGTTTAAACATTCACAATACATTTCAAGCAAGCATGACAAGAGTATATGAGCAGCGGAAAGTAAAGCATACAAGTTGCAATAATGTAAAGGAATGGGATTAGAGTATGCAAATGCAATTGGAGACACGGAGATTTTTGGCATGGTTCCGATAGGTGGTGCTATCGTACATCCACGTTGATGGAGACTTCAACCCACGAAGGGTAACGGTTGTGCGAGTCCCCGGAGGGCTCCACTCACGAAGGGTCCACGAAGAAGCAGCCGTGTCTATCCCACCATGGCCATCGCCCACGAAGGACTTGCCTCACTTGGGTAGATCTTCACGAAGTAGGCGATCTCCTTGCCCTTACAAACTCCTTGGTTCAACTCCACAATCTTGACGGAGGCTCCCAAGTGACACCTAACCAATCTAGGAGACACCACTATCCAAAAGGTAATAGATAGTTTGTGGATGATGAACTCCTTGCTCTTGTGCTTCAAATGATAGTCTCCCCAACACTCAACTATCTCTCTCACAGATTTGGATTTGGTGGAAAGATGTGTTGGGGAACACGGTATTTCAAAAATTTCCTACGATCACGCAAGATCTATCTAGGAGATGCATAGCAACGAGAGGGGAAGAGTATGCCTACGTACCCTCGTAGTCCGAAAGCGGAAGCGTTATGAAACGCGGTTGATGTAGTCGAACGTCTTCGCGATCCAACAGATCAAGTACCGAACGCACGGCACCTCCACGATGTGCACACGTTAAGCTCGGTGACGTCCCTCGTACTCTTGATCTAGCTGAGGCCGAGGGAGAGTTTCATCAGCACGACGGCGTGATGACGGAGATGATGAAGTTACCGACGCAGGGCTTCGCCTAAGCACTACAACGATATGACCGAGGTGAAATTCTGTGGAGGGGGGCACCGCACACGGCTAAACAATCAACTTGTGTGTCTATGGGGTGCCCTCCTCCCCCGTATATAAAGGAGTGGAGGAGGGGAGGGCCGGCCCTCACAAGGCGTGCCCAAGGAGGGGAGTCCTACTCCAGTAGGAGTAGGTTCCCCCCTTCCTAGTAGGAGTAGGAGAATAAGGAAGAGGGAGAGAGAGAGGGAAGGAAAGGGGGGGCACCCAATTTGGATTGGGCTTGGGGGGCGCCCTCCACCTGGCCGCCTTCTCCTCTCTCCCACTAAGGCCCAATAAGTCCCATAGACTCCCCCGGGGTTCCGGTAACCCCCCGGTACTCCGGTAAATGCTCGAACTCATCCAGAACCATTCCGATGTCCAAACATAGCCTTCCAATATATGGATCTTTATGTCTCGACCATTTTGAGACTCCTCGTCATGTCCGTGATCACATTCGGGACTCCAAACAACCTTCGGTACATCAAAATACATAAACTCATAATACCGATCGTCATCGAACGTTAAGCGTGCGGACCCTACGGGTTCGAGAACTATGTAGTCATGACCGATACTCACTTCTGGTTAATAACCAATAGCGGAACCTGGATGCTCATATTGGTTCCTACATATTCTACGAAGATCTTTATCGGTCAAACCGCATAACAACATACGTTGTTCCCTTTGTCATCGGTATGTTACTTGCCCGAGATTCGATCGTCGGTATCTCAATACCTAGTTCAATCTCGTTACCGGCAAGTCTCTTTACTTGTTCTATAATGCATCATCCCGCAACTAACTCATTAGTCACATTGCTTGCAAGGCTTATAGTGATGTGCATTAGCGAGAGGGCCCAGAGATACCTCTCCGATACACGGAGTGACAAATCCTAATCTCAATCTATGCCAACTCAACAAACACCATCAGAGACACCTGTAGAGCATGTTTATAGTCACCCAGTTACGTTGTGACGTTTGATAGCACACTAAGTGTTCCTCCGGTATTCGGGAGACGCATAATCTCATAGTCATAGGAACATGTATAAGTCATGGAGAAAGCAATAGAAATAAACTAAACGATCATAGTGCTAAGCTAACGGATGGGTCAAGTCAATCACATCATTATCTAATGATGTGATCCCGTTCATCAAATGACAACTCATGTCTATGGTTAGGAAACTTAACCATCTTTGATTAACGAGCTAGTCAAGTAGAAGCATACTAGTAACACTCTGTTTGTCTATGTATTCAGACATGTACTAAGTTTCCGATTAATACAATTCTAGCATGAATAATAAACATTTATCATGATATTAGGAAATATAAATAACAACTTTATTTTTGCCTCTAGGGCATATTTCCTTCAGTCTCCCACTTGCACTAGAGTCAATAATCTAGATTACATTGTAATGATTTTAACACCCATGGAGTCTTGGTGCTGATCATGTTTTGCTCGTGAGAGAGGCTTAGTCAATGGGTCTGCAACATTCAGATCCGAATGTATCTTGCAAATCTCTATGTCTCCCTCCTTGGCTTGATCGCGGATGGAATTGAAGCGTCTCTTGATGTGCTTCGTTCTCTTGTGAAATCTGGATTCCTTTGCCAAGGCAATTGCACTAGTATTGTCACAAAAGATTTTCATTGGACCCGATGCACTAGGTATGACACCTAGATCGGATATGAACTCCTTCATTTGCTGCTTCCGAAGCAGCTATGTACTCCGCTTCACACGTAGATCCCGCCACGACGCTCTGTTTGAAACTGAACCAACTGACAACTCCACCATTCAATAAAAATATGTATCCGGTTTGTGACTTAGAGTCATCCGGATCAGCGTCAAAGATTGCATCGACGTAACCGTTTACGACGAGCTCTTTTTCACCTCCAAAAACGAGAAACATATCCTTAGTCCTTTTCAGGCATTTCAGGATGTTCTTGACCGTTGTCCAGTGATCCTCTCCTGGATTACTTTGGTACCTCCCTGCTAAACTAATAGCAAGGCACACATCAGGTCTGGTACACAGCATTGCATACATGATAGAACAGATGGTTGAAGCATAGGGAATGACTTTCATTTTCTCTATATATTCTGCAGTGGTCGAGCATTGAGTCTGACTCAACTTCACACCTTGTAACACACGCAAGAACCCTTTCTTTGCTTGATCCATTTTGAACTTCTTCAAAACTTTATCAAGGCATCTGCTTTGTGAAAGTCCAATCAAGCGTCTTGATCTATCTGTCGGATGACGGGTTCCTGCAAAACCCTCGAGGTTCGAACACTGGGGTGCGCATGAAGGTTTTCTCCCTATCGATCCATGCCCTAGCTCTCTAAGATCTCGCAGACGAACTCGACGAACTTGCAACACAAAGACACAAGATTTATACTGGTTCGGGCCACCGTTGTGGTGTAATACCCTACTCTAGTGTGGTGGTGGTGGATTGCCTCTTGGGCTGATGATGAACAGTACAAGGGGGAGAACAGCCTCCTGAGGTTGAGGTGCTCTTGTGCTTGGTGAACCTGTGTGGGAGAGATGCCTCTGAATGAGTTCTCCCTCTCTTTCTCTTGTTTTCTCTCTCTTTTCTGTCGTCCTCTCTTTTGTGGTGGCTAGTTCTACTTGTATAGGCCCTGGTCCTCTCCCCTAATATTGAGCGGGAAGGGAGCCAACAACGGCCAATTTGAAAGGGGACAACTAGTACAGCTTATCCTGACAAAAGTAGTCTTCGCATGCAAAAGGCTCTGGTGGTGACGCCGTCTTGGGCTCCATGGTGACCTCTGTCTTGCCGTCCTGCTGGTCTTGGTCTCGTTGCACCGATATGGAAACCTTTGCTTGATGCCTTGGTACTCCGCACCTGCGCTTGCCCCCTTGGCACCAAAGAGGAAGCAAGAACACTACGCGCGCTGGCGCCCG